GCAAATGCTCATTTTCTATGGGCTTAATTTAGTTGTTGGATAAGAGAAAATGTTGGAACAGTTTAGAGTTCTTTCTCTCTAGTTTTACATGCCTCTATAGAAAGGAAAGTACAACATGGCAGGAAAGGATTAGAAGGCCAGAGAAAGGAAGTCATCTCCTCTCATGCTCATGGTAAGTTATAGAGACAATTTGCCCCTGAGTTATCATTCTCAGCCTGAAAAGGTGAGAATGGCGAATCTCAAGAGCTAAGATTGCCTTCTCATCAGTGAAAGATCAGATCAGAGAGGAAACTGAAGCAGAACACATTTAACATTTCATCTACAATGCAGAGGAGGATCAGAGCCAGTCTGACTTCTCCAAGTCTTATGAATGGCCAATGACCTTGTGTCCTTTAGCCGGTGGAAGGAGTCCCTGTTTTCTCAGATAGGCATATATATTTTCTAAGCATAAGCTAGATTTTGATGAAAAGACCCATTTTATAGCATTTTATACAAAATTCTATTAGGAGATGCTCTAATATTACATTTTCCTAGCACTGCTGTCCAAGATAATAAACTACAGTAGTGAAATAAGTCAAACAGGCAAAACAAGGAACACTAGGAAGTTCAGAAACTAAGTCCAAATTCAACATATACAGAACCAAAATAAATGGCCCCATTAAAAAATTATTATAACTTTATTACCTTCCCATGTTTTCAACTTAAATTTATACAAAATATAACCAATTATAAGCAATGGTCAAAGACATAACATCATAAAAATTTGATTCAAAATTTTGATTACTTAATGAATCACAATCGGGCATATATGAAACAAAAGCAGACTCTTACCTTCATCGAATTGTCTCAGTGTAAGGTCTCCAAATGAAATAAGGGTATGAAACTCCCAACCAGCTAGATACTCAAAATGCAAAGTTCATGTTCTGTAAGATTGAGGAATGAGTTCTAGGAACAAGAGAGTGTATGAATAGGAAGAATTTATTCAGAGAAAGAAAGAATCTGTCTGAGAGGGACAAAAGGGGATCCAGAAAGTGGGTTGCTCCTGAAATTTTATATAGATGAATTAATAAATTACATATAGCTGCATTTTCAAAATATAATAATGATTCTACCAGTTTTTTCATAAATTTACCAAACTTTCTGAATATCTTGCAGAGTATGATTATTTAAACTGTGCCGATGTTATTGTTTTTCCTTTTATCTTTCCAAATATGTCAAAACCACCTCATTTCTGAGAACAGATATGAACTTTGTTGAAATGTACATCATAGTATCATTAACGATTTTTATGCTTACCCGATTAAGCTCAGTTATTTAGTGAAAGACACATGTGAGGAAAACAAAATGGCTTCATTCACTCCTTTATTCTCAGTGTTTTCAATCACAAACAGCTATGTCGGGACAGGAAGACCCACTATACAGTCTTTTCATTTTCTGTCCTCAAATTCTGGATAGATTTCTTCCTCTCCAGTTAAAGGGGTTTCTAATTTAACAAGATATGCATAAATAACTGAGTAGGCTCAATTTTTAAACAGATGAAGTTGGTGGATATAATTGTTACTCAGAAAGTTTGCTACAAATAATTTCTTCTAAAAAATTTGCCAAGGGTCTTTTATAGATATATATTTTTGTTCCAGTTCAGTGAGATATGCATCGTAGATAGGCATCAGAGATCATAGATTTAAATATTTTTGAATATATTTGAAAACATTAATCTCCATTTTGTTAATTAGGGATTGAAATTCTCTTTATCTCTTTAGCATCTATTATCTGAGAATTTATTTTTCATTATTGAATGACAGTGTTCCTGGATAGTGTTCTTGATTGGGAGTTTTGTCACTGAACCGTAAATATATCTCACTGTCTGGCCTGCGTGGTAGTTTTTTATTTTTTGCTGAACACATATTGTTAATTGTTTTGTATGCTTCTAATGGCTTTTTTTGTTTCTATCACTTGTAGAATTCTTCAAGTAATTAGCTGTCTGTTTTTATCAAGCTGCTCATTTTAAGAAATGTGTATGTACCAACTACTTCCCAGGAAGAAATTAAGCATTTTTCCTGCAAAAAGTACAAATAAAAAATCAAAATCAAAAAAGTAAAATAAACAGTAAATGATATTCTTTTAATAAACAACCCAAATAAGAAGTTGACAATGAACTGAACAGACATTTCTCAGAGAAAACAAATGGTCAACTGGCGTATGAAAATATGTTCAAAATTGTCAATCACTAAGAAATGCAAATTCAAACCTCAGTGAAATATCACACCATACTTGTTAGAATGGCTGTTGAGAACAAGTACAGAAGACCTCAAGTGTCGAATGGGATGTGGTAAAACATGAATCTTCAAACACTATTGGTGGAATGTGGATTACTTTTGCCATTGTGGAAAATTCCTGAAAAAATTTAAAATACAACTACTATATGGACAATCAAACCCGCTGAGTATATATAGATAGAGGAAATTACATCAGTATGTTAAGTGATAAACTCCCATATTCTTGTAGCATTCTTCACAATGCCTAGTATATATGATCTAGCTAAGTAGCCATGAATACATGAATGGATGAAGGAACTGTCATATAAAGATACATGGCAGAACCCCTTGATGTTCAAAATTGAAGATCATTTATTATGAATGAGATAGATGAACAGTGAAGAGTTTATGTTAAGAGAAAAAATCCAGGCACAAAAAAATAAATACTGTATGATCTCATGCATATGTGCGATATAAATCAGTTATATTCATAAAAGCAGAATGTTGGTCACTGGTGACTAGGACCTGGCGTGTGTTAAGTAGATATTCATCATCTTGTACACAGTAAGTTCTAGGGATATACTTTAAAGCATGGTAATTATAGTCACTTACAATACCATATTCTTAAAAATGGATAAGATCATATTTAACTGTTCACATCAAAAAAGTTATGTAATATACATATATACATATATATCTGCCTCTGTATATGCATTCTAGACATATAGTTTTATGAAAGTATATACACATATATGTATATTTATGTATCAATTACAGTTGGGTAAATACACAGGCTTTGCTGAGTTTTCTCTATCTTTCACACACCAAAGTTTTCTTCTTGCACCCTATGGGACTGTGCTCCTGTAGCTCATGGGGAAGGATTCTCCAAAGCACTCAGACTCTCTCTGCGTGGAGATGCCCACAGAAACTGCTAATTGTTTCTGGGAATTGGGGTTGGGAAAGAACTTATTTGTTTCTTTAGTTGTTTCTTATAATCATCTCTACAGACTGAACATGCATTGTCATGAAAATTACAGATGAAGTGGTAATTGCATTTCAGAGGGATTTGAGATCACAGAACATAACCCATATCTTAGGGTCTGGCCATTTCTATCCCACACAGGAAGATGTTTCATGACCATCATCTCAGCCTGCTAGCCAAGAAAAATGTAGGTGCTGGGTATTTTCTGTTCTGGTCTGTGAAATAGAGGCTGAGAGAATGAGTTGATTCAGGGTCTACTTTTGTGTGAGTTGTCATGTCTGGAAAAGTAGTTCATCTGAGGTAACACAGAAATCCAGGGAGGAGGGATGATTCATAAACCACAGCTGAGGGGAGGACAGAGACTGGAGGACTGAGACCCCTCACCAGCCTTTAACTGCACCCCATGTGCTTTCATATAACCAGCAGGAAAGATGGTTGTGACAGTTTCTCCAAGTAACAATGTCATATCATTTAGAAGATCCCTAAGACTGTGATCAAGAAATCAGTGTGCTATTCAGAGTGCTGCGTACAAATCACAGAGAAGTTTATATCACTTGGATTCTTGCTTTGGTAAAAGTTCTTGTTTGTGATAATAAGTGCGATGGAGATTTTTCAATCAACAGTTTCCTGTATAATGAATGTATTTAAATGGTAACTTCTGTTTTATACGGATTTTTGTTTTACGGAGGTTGAGGTAATGAATGGAGATAAATTCTAGATCTCTCTGAAATTATATCTAATCTGTTAACCTTGTTAGTCAAATTTTCTTTTGGCACTTAGAAAGGCGGTTTCTATAAAAAGTTAACTTAATAATTGAGTGATTTAAACTACAGAGGATCTAAGGGGGCCAAGCTGTTTCTGATTCAAACATGTCTTGTTATATTTGTCAGGTTTAGAAACCTTATTGTCCTTTTGTGACTCCACATCATCATTGGCCATCACCATGTGTGTAGTATGAAGACTCACAATGCCATTGGTCATACATGATGTACTTCAACATCATTCTCCAAAAACATTTCACTACTTTATTTTTCTATATTAAAAAAATTAAGCTATTTAATGAAGGTTCATTTAGTCTCTATGACTCAAATTTTATATATACAACGTTACCTTAGAGAATAAGACCAATATTATACATAATATCTATATTAAATGATGTTGGCTAAAGTTCTGTTGCTATATAGATCCATGTTTATTAAGTACAACTATGTCTTAAGATATTATTTAGTCCATTATTAATTTTAAAGATTTGTGAGTATTTCCTTAAGAATATTTCTGTAATATAAATATCACATTCACACAGAATGGGGATTATAACGGTTGAACATTCCTATAAGGATATTTCAAATATAACTATATATAACTGTATATAACTATATATAACTATATATATATACACACATATATCTGCAAATATCTTGGATATATTTAGATGGGTCACATAAATTTTTCTATATTAAAAATGCTTTCTCCTTAAAGAAACAGAATTGTTAACCCATCACATTGAGATCCCTAAGGGCCTCAATATTGGTAAGGTATAAATTACAATGACCCACACATTTAAAATGCTTTACAACGAAAAGGAGCATTTAAGAGTTTAAAAACATTTAATAGATAAAATGTATAGTTGAAATAAAATTTTATGGAATATAAATGTGCTTAATTTTGAAATCATTTTATATAAAATATTTTCTCCACAATTTATCTTTCCATACAGAATCCCATATTCTGGAATATTTATATGAATCCTACACAATTACATAATGACATCTATGGATCTGAAATTTGTAATCCTCTTAATCTTCCCAATTGTTATTGGAAGCCTGGGTAATTTCTCCCTTTTATGTCATTTTATCTTCCTTTACTTCAGTGGATGCAGCACCAGATCCACAGATTTGATTCTCAGGCACCTGACAGTGGCCAACCTCTTGGTCATTCTCTCCAGAGGAATCCCAGAGACCATGGCAGCAGCTGGGGTGGAAGACTTCCTCAGTAATGTTGGATGCAAACTAGTTTTCTACGTTCTAATAGTGGGCAAGGGTGTGTCTTTCAGCGCCACCTGCCTCCTGAGTGTCTGCCAGGCCATCACCATCAGCCCCAGGAGCTCCAGGTTGGCAGAGCTGAAAGTGAAAGCCCTAAAGTACATTGGGCCCTGTTGCATCCTTTTGTGGCTGCTGCACATGTTGTTAAACTTCAGAGTTCCTATGCTTGTGAGTGACAAATGGAGCAGTAGAAACATGGCAAACATTATAGATTATCAATACTGTTCAGCTATAATTTCTGGCAAAGGTAATACCTGGTTTTTTACAGTATTGTCACTGTCACACGATATTTTGTGTTTGAAACTTATGATCTGGAGCAGTGGCTCCATGGTTTTCATGCTGTATAGGCACAAGCAGCGAACACAGCATATTCACAGACACAAAATCTCATCAAGATCTTCTGCTGAGACCAGAGCTTCTCAAAGCATCCTCATCCTGGTCTGTGCCTTTGTATCCTTTTATACCCTGACTTCCTTCACATATTTTTTGTTTTCTGTTTATGACAAAAGTGCTTGGTGGTTGGTTAACACTTCTGCCTTAACCATTGTTTGTTTCCCGACTGCTAGTCCCTTCATTCTCATGACCCGTGAACAGTGTGTATGCAGGCCCCTGTGGAGGAAGTGAACATGTATCTCACCTCATCAGACCTGTGAATGGGTACTTTTTATGCCTTCAGTACTGCAGGCAGTCATGCATCACAAAACACAAACATAATTATGAGCCAGTTTTACTGCAGAGGTGGGTATAAAGATGAGAGATAGAGATATTTTTAAAATCAACAGCAACTGACAGAAATTCAAAGAGAAATAAATTTTAGTATTTATTTTTCATACAATTTAATTTTTCACTTGAATGTTTTTGACATTCTTACACACTGCCTTTATGTCTGTCTTATTTCTTTTTTGTCCATTCTTTGCTTTCTCTGTGGAATATATTTCTTTAGCAGTTTCAGTTAATTATTAATTGTAATTTACTATTGTCAATGTAATATATATATGTAATTATTATATACTTATGTAAGTTAATTCTTTTAATAGCATTGTGCTACTCCCTCATTTTACAGTTTTGGATTTCTGTCATTTATTCTTGTATTTCAGACCTTGTATTTCAGCTTTTATTTTATACTACATGTACAATATCATGACTATTTTATTTAAATAATTGTTTCAAAAATTCATTATTGTTTTGACAGTTATCTAAAATTATTATTAACTTAAAGTAAAATCTTGCTTTAATGTAAACACTTCTTGCACAGTTTGGAGATGTAACTAAGTGGTAGACCTCTTTCTTGGGATAAGTAAGGTCTTGATTTCCATCTTCAGCCCTGTAAAATAAAATGTAGTCATGAGACACATATAAGAGCTCAGGAACACAGTTGTTAACTTTTGAGCTATTTTACTATGGCATGATTAACATTCAAAAATCTGAACACTGTAATGTGCATAACTAGATGTATTTGGAAAAAAAGGATTTCTACAACACCTTGAAACATCTTGAAAACTACTGCCATTCAACTTGGAAACTATCTGTAATATTGCCAGTTTAAGTAGGGGAGCTCAGTTTAAATTGTTGACATAAGAGAAATGCAATAAATATTTACTTTGGTAACAGATGTTTTCTGTGGAGTGTATTTTCTGTGATTTCATAATTTCATTCAGTGAAAACCTCACAGTTTTTTTAACTGTGTTAACAAAGATTTTTGCCATATTCAGACACTTGAGACATTGCAGATCCTGTGCTCCAGCCATGCCTTTTCCCTCCTTTCTCTGTTGATTTGAAGATCACATCTAAATGTGTAATCATCACACAGCCTGTATTAAACAGCCTTTCAAGCACCAGGATCTATGCCAAAAATTACACATTAACCCCAATACATCCTCCTTGACCTTGTTCACTATTCTGGTTTGCTTTTCTGCCTCTTTAGGTAATGACATGCAAGATCTGTCATAATGGCAAACTTTTACTTACATAGTGTATATTCTATATCCAAGTGAGGTCATGCAGCCTTTTAAATATTATTTTTGTGCCTGCTTTGTTTTGCTTCTTATTACGTCTTTGAAATATATTATGGTTTTGTCTCTCACAGGGATTTCTCATTGTTTAGTGCTGGATATTAGGCAGTTATACATGTGCAACACAATTTCCTTATCTTCTCTCCTTTGGTGAACACTTAGATGACTTCTTTGTTTTGGTTATTGTGAATTATCTTGTAATGAAATTACAGTAAAAGTATCTCTTTGAAATCCAAATTTTCACTCCTTATATATACAAGAAGGGCCTGGATTGCTGGATCAAATGACAGCATTTTTTTAAGTTTGCAGAAAAATCTTTATAATTTTCTATAGCAGCAACGCTATTTTAAATACCTCTAAACAATAAACAAGTGCTATCGACTCCAATGTTGGTTCCTCTGTGTTCCTGTGCTGTTATTTTGTGTTCTGGGAATTGTCTCTTTTCCTCTGCTTGTGGCTTGCTAAGACAAAAACAAAAAGTTCACAAAGACTATGGATTCTGTTATGCTGTTTACCAAGAAAAGGCTGGGCGACCCTGCTGAGGTGACTGTTGTCACTTGTTTATGTTCTACGTGGTGATGATGACCTGGACCAGTGATTTGAAAGTATATTTTTACTGATATAAAATCAGGTCACATGCTCATGGGAACAATCTGACCTGAAAATCCTCCCCTGAGTCCAAGTCACGAAATCCCTCCTTCTCTGCACACCTGAAGTCCTTTACCACTCTCCAATTCATCCTTCGTGTCTGTGGGGTCTCTTTAGTGACCCAAGTCTGGTGATCATTGGCATCTCTCACAGAAGCCTGCAGGTTCCTTAGCCTTTTTGGTCCTCAAGTGTGGAGATTCCTGTGTACAGATCTACACTGCCTGCATAGGGAAGAAAACAGCCCATATTTTTGTCAGGAATATGTAAATTGTATGTATTTGTATGATGTTTAGTTTTATATTCACACAACTCCATGAAATCATATTCACAGTCAGAAGAATTGCATTATGCAAAACTGTCAGCAAACTCACATTTGTATAAAAATTAGCATATGCATGTGTAAGTGTGTGACAATCAGCTGAGACTTATTATCCATCAAGGAGTAATCATGGAAAATTGAATATTAATATATAAGAAATAACAGTAATGCAAGAATGAAAAAATGCTATGCCAACTTCATCTTTATTTTCATCACAATGAATGAATAATTTAATATAGCTTTGAAGCTTCTCACTAAATATATTGAAATACTGGTTCTCAATAAGAAAAATTGATCATTTTGTGGAATATAGTAATTAATAATTGGGGACTAGATTTGTCAAAAAATTAAGTGCACTTTATATTTGCTTTATTTTCTTTTTATATGTTAACACCTTTTACAGTGATTTTCACATAATCTTCATTTCAGTTTTTTATTGGAAGTTGCACATTCATTGCTAATAATTCATAACCCAGACATTACAGCTTATTTTTAAACACTACTTATGGTGGGAAGAAATGTAATTCTTGTAACTTGTAAACTCTGTTACATTAATCTATTCACTTTTTTTCCATGTAAATATAATTCTGAGAAGCAAGTAATGCTTATAGCACAGTGGGGTACTACTTCTTACCAAGGTAGGTCCAGATCTTGGGGTTGGTCCACAGCACCAAAAAAATGGCATGGGTTGAAAATACACTTTAGAAAGTAGGGCTATGTGGGCAATGATCAGTTATTATCCCAATTATCACTAGGCTGAGGCAGGAAGATGACAGTTTCAAGGCCAGCCTGGGTAATGTCATTTCAAAAGCAAAGAAAAACAAAAGTGCTTAAAGACACATACAGAACTCTTTAGTAGATATCAACATTGCTTTGGCTTGTGTGTAGATGTCCCCCCCAAAATACTCATGTGATTGGTTTGACCTTGTTCTGTGTGTGGATAGTGGAAAGGCTCATTCTAGGTGTATTACCTACCATATGGGTGTAGACATCCTGGATAAAATGTAAGGGACGGAAAGAGGGTCACTGCTATTGCTTGCTACTTTGCTGCTCTCCTGCCTTCTGCCAACCATGAACACTTTCTTCTCTCTGATGCTTCTCTGCCATATAACACTGCCTTGGAGCCAGATGATTGGGACTTCTATCCTCTACAACTGTGAGATAAATAAACCTTTCCTCCTTTAAGTTTGGGTGTCAGGTGTATTGTCTCAGAAATAAAACAGTAACTGAGACAACCACTGATGAAGAAAAAACCCTACATCCTATCTATGTACGTGAGTTTTTATGTTGACAAAACCAGGCCATTTTCATCTCACTCATATCTCCTTATGTTTCTAACCAGTCCCTCTACTCATGGGGCTTGCTATGCTGACTTCAAAGGGCAGTCAGAATTTCTTTCTCTTCTGTATTTTACTCACATATCAGACATCAGGAAGACTTTTGTATGGGGGTTTCAATTTCTGTATGTTGCTTTAAACTTATCGGTATTTGTGCATGTTATTTCTAACTTTTCATTATTTTATAGAGAAGAAAAATAAAAACCACATTTAAAATGATACAGAATTTGAAAGCAAGATGATAGGAAATAAACAATGGTTGTTATTTGCATATTGTTATCTTCAAAATAGCTGTTCAGATTACCAGATACAGGCATGCAAAATTGATCAAAAAATATTAGCTGTTCCTTTCAGTAAACCAATAGAAATCAGTAGTACAATTATCTTAGCTATTATATATATTTTTTCTCTCCCTTTTATCTTTCTTTTCTCCTTTCCCTCATCCCAGTTGTTCTTTCCTTTTGAGCAGTTTCCTTCCCTTTCACAATATCTATTGTACCTTTTGAATCTTATTTACTCTTTCAGCTTCTTACACTACGGAGACAATACGATGTTGACACAAGCAAGTCTGATTTCTTGCACTTCTGAGTATGGTCTCCAGGTGCATCCATTTACCTACAAAAGTCTCTAGTTTATTCTTATTTATGGATGAGTGGTACTCCATTATATTAAAAAATGCATCTTTTATATCCATTCCTCAGTTGTTTGGCATTTGGATTATTTCCAAGATTTAGCTCTTACAAATTGTGCTGCTATTCACATGGGTGTACATATATCACTGCGATATGATATTTCTAATTCTTCTGGGAAGATACCCCAATGGGAATAGCTGGGTCAAATGGGCCCCATAATCCTAGACCTTTGCAGAATCCCCGCACTGATTTCTACAGTAGTTGTACCAGTCTACAGTCCCACTAACACTGGAGAAGTGTTCCTTTTTACCCGTAGCCTCACCAACATTTGTTATTGCTTGATTTTTAATAATAACCATTCTTTCTGGGCTAATTGTTTACATATCTCAGATGCCCATTTTTGGATTGGGTCTTTGAATTTTGGAGACCTGATTTTGAAAAGTTTTTATATGTTCTAGATACAAATCCTTTTTCTGAGGGACAATTAGATTGTTTTTTTTCCAATTTGTGTCTTTTCGTTTTACTCTGTTGGTTTCTTTTGATGTCCAAAAACATTTTACTAAGATAGTATCCCAGTTGTTGATTCTATGAAGTATTTCCCATGCAGTTTGGATTTTGTTTATGCACTGTCTGTCTACTCCTATGTCTTCAAGAGTTCTATGTACTTTGTCTTCCA